GCCGTGATAAAAACTGCTGCTAATTAATTTGTATTTTAAATCGCAAAAGGTAACCTGCTGCGTAACCTGCGGCTTGGCAAGGAGAATTGTAAGCTCATGCCCGGATGCGTCTACGGCGATCTAGCCCTGCCGATATCTTACGGTTGTCTGAGCATCCCTGAATACCTACGATTTATGTTCAAAGAATATTCGGCCGAAATCTGGGAGCCTAAGAAACGCTGCATGCCAACGCAGCACCCCTAACAAACAAAGTCTAGGGTCCAATATAGTAATGTCGGACCAATTGGAACTGCCTTTCCCATATCTGTACACTCCCTTTAAGGGGAGAAGGCAATGTTGGCGACGCAATAGTACTATGCCGTCGTACCGTTTACGATGTATCCGCCGAAATGCACAAAGTCGGTCGCAACCTTGAACGATGTGAAAAACACTGGATATTAACCCTGCGCTTGAAAGTGAATTGTTACGAGATGGAGTATCATTTACCTGACAAATCTATAAGCTGTGATGGCTGACCAGTTGCGAAGAGCGAAACCCTCTAGCAGCTTCTTGCAACCCTGCCAGAGCCTTAGAAGTTCCTTATGCTAGGTCTATCTAGTTAAGCAGCGCGCATGGCACACGTTCACTCGTGGGTTTTTTCGTGTCTTTCTGTGTCGTTATATTGCGCTAACATGTACGTTAATATTACGCCGAAAGATTGTGACTAGGATCGGGTGGGGCTTGCACAGCCATGGGAGATTCAGACATGCCGTTGCGTATCTTTAGGGTGGCGTGTCCATCCCGAAGAAATGGCTTCCAGATCCTAATGATGACAACCTGTCATCATATATGACAATATTGGTCGCAGGATCTGCAAACCAATGAACAGTTTGCCTTTTACGTGGGCACTGCACTTCCCCGCTGTGAGGGCTGCGGTAGCTGCGCGTAGCCTCTGGCAGAAGGCGATGTAATGGCCAACAGTTTTTAGTGTTGCTTCGCCGCAGCACTGTGACTTCAGCTGCTTGAAGAGAGTTCATGCGCCCGAGGTGGCATCGTATGACTTCTCGTTTAATATCTGTTTTGTCATTTCTGCTATGCTCCCCTGAACGGGATGCTGTAACTCTTTCTGTAATCAAAGAGGCCAACTGAAATCATGAAGTAGAACCATACTTGACTCAGAAGAGTTTATTAGCAGCTGACATAGCAGCTTGGTTTTGGTCAGGTCTTATATTTAACCCAAAGCGAATGGCGAGAGCAGCAGGCGCACCATTTTAGGCGCATGCGTATAACTACTTCAGGACTTAATAATTGTGCACGCAAAAAGCCATCGTGCAAGCATACGACGCGTGCAGAAGTTTCTCAGCTTGATGTCCTTCTGTAGTGGTCACCGTAGCCCTTAGTTTGAAGATTCTCTTTTGCCGGACCTAGATGCATAGCCTGGGTGGGACTTCCTGAAATCTGCCATCCTTGGAGAGCTGCACTGCTCATCCCTGGATTCCTGGCAGGCGTCGCAGTAGCAGACTACCTCAATGTTACGAAGGCAACCAAGCTGGCTGCACATAGGACAGTGAGGCCTCCTATACTTAGTAGAACCATTCTCTGCGCTGAGACAAAGAGAGGGACTATCTGGCCTCGAGCCTCTCTTTTTCTGGCGCTTGCACGGAACGCGGTTTGAAGGCTGGTCCACAGTTGACTGAGGGGCAGTTTCAGACGGTTTTCCCGGCGAGGACTCTGTAGTCAATTCTCTCTTCGACACAGACTTCCGAGATTCTGTCCGGCACATAGTAGAGCTTGACTTGGTGGAATCGGTTTTCTTCAGTCGGCTCGGCACGTCCTTCACAAGCGATACTTTCTGGCAATCCACGGAGGAGTCAGCGGAGTCTCCACCTTTTGATTTTCCTGCTTCCGACTTGACTGCGACGCTGACAGAAGAGACGCACTTCTTCGCCTGACCGCTGGCGCTCGCATTCCCTTGTGAACTTCTCCTGCAGTAGCGAATGAAGCCACAGATGAAAACTGTAGGCAATGTTTCATCCCTGTGCAGCAAAACCTAGTGTTCCTCTCTAGACATGGTTTTGCGAGGCTCAGATAAAACAAAAAAGGAGTATTTACAGTTTTCATTTGAGCGCAACACAGGGAATGAAGCGTACGCGGCGACACGGCTTCGTGTCAGGGCGAGTTTAGTTGTAAACGTATCGCAGGTCTCTCCCTCAGCGCGTCGCAAGGCCATGCGCGGAGAGGAGCATCGAGGCTTGCCACTGAAGCACTGTGGGCAGTGGCAACGGCAGTCCAGCCCGGCTCTCAGGGCTTCGCCGAAACCACATTTTTCGCAGTGGGGCCGAAGAACATCGGGTTCCTCTGGCGTCAACAGCTTACGTCCCCTGGTGGACGTGTTGCGCGCGCCTCCAGAGGCCTTGGCATTCGTTTCTACTCCAAGGTCCCTGAGAGAATTTAGCATAAACTTACCATGTAGATGGCTTGGTTCATATGCATGCATGCTTGCACTCCCCAAGCAACATCCCGCAGTTTGGTTACTTGGGGAAAATGTTCCGAAAACATTCGATAAAAAAAGAACTTATTCTTCGAGGAGGCGCTGGTCCCATCGGCAGAACACNATGTTCCGAAAACATTCGATAAAAAAAGAACTTATTCTTCGAGGAGGCGCTGGTCCCATCGGCAGAACACAATCAAGCTATGCTACGCATAAACTGTGTCGGGGCGAATCACATAAGCCCAGGTGCGCGCAGATTGGGAGCTCACTTTTGTGACTTCTGCACGCGGCAAAAGAATGAGCCTGTGATAGTTGTTGTAGGGCTCTTCGCCTCTCTAGCAGCAGCAGTCGGGGCCATCTTCTCACTCGAGGATGCTCAGTCTGCCAGCATGTCCCTCAAAGCACCCCGTTTCACGAGGTCAAAGAACAGCCCCGGTTGCAGGTCACTATGGGACAAGTAATCGTTGGAAATGTGATAACACGAAGCTAGTTGACCTGGGAACCCAGAAAGTTTTACACTCAGTGCGAGGGACACTTATGGCTTAACGCCTTGCACGGTTAGGAACACCGGTGCGCCGATCACCGAAGGAGTCAATGGCACAACCCGGCTTACTGGACTTACGTGCTCCTTCTTTGAGGCGGTAAGATTGTGTATTATATGCGTTATATCCCGCGAAACGTTTGCAGTTGTTGAAGGCTGCAACAGCTAACGGCTGGTAGCTCTCCGTGAGAGCGCCGCCTCCAGGTGCGGCCGAAAGCGTCAACTAGTAGGCACTGGCACCAGGAGCCCCCCATTTTTTAATCCAGGAATTCGAAAATAAATATAAGTGAAAACTAAACAATTAAAAATGGTTGTCCTTCCGGGCCGTGCTCTGCGGTATCCAGATTGCTTGCTGCCAAGGTCATCGACGGCCGGCGGACAGCGCATAAGAGAGCATCACGCACGAAGATACGTAATAACTGGTGCCACGCACAAGGAGGACTAGCCTCTAGTTTTCGAGCACTTACATTGTTGTAGAAGTGGCATGCCTTTAGTGACCCATATACGTGGGATGTTGGGAGAAAACATCGCAGAAACCGCGTGGCGTTTACGAGGGCCATTNTAGTGACCCATATACGTGGGATGTTGGGAGAAAACATCGCAGAAACCGCGTGGCGTTTACGAGGGCCATTCAATGTCTTCTTGTGCATCTTCGCGCGTGTGTACCGGGGGTGTAAATGCCAATAAAGTTTGTGGGCTTGAAATGAAGAAGCACGCAGTAAAATAACAAGAGCACGAAACTAACCGGAGAAAATGCAGAACCTCCTGACCACACTCGACCGGGGTCACTCAGCGCATTAGAAGTCCCATGCAGGTTTGGCTGGACTGGAGGTACTCACAATGTCGAAACATTGTGATTAACTCCAGTAATCCGAACAGCATTCGTGTGGAATGCATATTTGCTGGATTGCTGGTGGATACGAACGTAGACAAACCCTATTTCCGCTGCACGGTGAATGCGTGCAGCAGAAATACGGTTTTCCGAAACTGTGGATTGGAAACACCACCTACTAGGCTGCATTAGCTTGTTGTTCTTTGCATGCTTTTTGTATCTCATATGAGCCTGCAAGGCACCACCCACAATGCGGGTGCCGCTCCGTGGGGTTCCGACCCAATACAACAAACGCACTTAATGCCGTTCCGCAGGAATTTAGACCGCAACCTAAATACCACAGAAAAGCTGCACTGCGGTAGTAGGTCGTTATTGAGCACCACACAGTCCAAAAAAATGTGGCTGCTAGCTTTCTAAAGTTGCATGACAAGTTGTTCATTGTACTAAACATCCCATCCGCAGGTGTACGTTACCTAGCCACGAAAGAAGCTGAAAGATCCATCAGGACGACTCGCAACCTCTTTTAAATGCCCTCTGACAGTGCAATTTACTGCTGCGGCTGCGAAGGAGCTGCCTTTTATGGCTCCAACACACCTTTAGATCGCCACCGGCGAAAGTGGCAACACACATAATGGTCCTGTAGAGATGTTTGAGCATAGCTCTGCTTTTCTGATCTTAGCAAAATCTCGCTATGGC